GGCATCGCTAACTCACAGATCGAACCCTGAAACAACCTCTGGGCTGATCTAACTCAGGGCACGGCTAACACACAGATCAAACCCTGAAACAACCTCTGGGCTGATCTAAGTCAGGGCACGGCTAACTCACAGATTGAACCCTGAAACAACCTCTGGGCTGATCTAAGTCAGGGCATGGCTAACTCACAGATCGAACCCTGAAACAACCTCTGGGCTGATTTAAGTCAGGGCACGGCTAATCCACAGATTGAACCCTGAAACAACGTCTGGGCTGATCTAAGTCAGGGCATCGCTAACTCACAGATCGAACCCTGAAACAACCTCTGGGCTGATCTAAGTCAGGGCATCCCTAACTCACAGATTGAACCCTGAAACAATCTCTGGGCTGATCTAAGTCAGAGCATGACTAACTCTCAGATTGTATAATGAATGAAATGAAATTACTGTAGATACTTGTCGTTGGTAAAAAAGAATATGTTGGTATATCTTTACCAGCAACTTGCCAAAGCTGCATGGTGAGTGGTTTTAAATGTTAGCTTACCTTAACGAGTTTGGAGAGTACGGTAGCTATACAACTATCTGCAGGGAGTTCAAATAGTACATCATATCTTCTACATATCTGCTACATGTCTCACTTTATAAGAAATTACCGATGATACGTCCTTCTTGTTTATTGCACAACTCCTTTGTGAGACAGATTTGTAGTTATATCAGGAAAACTACTGTGATGACGGTGAATTAGTACGTGCACAGCATGTGCTATCTAAAGAAAAGCATTTGAATCAATCATGTTCCTAAAATCGTATGCCTCTATTCATGGTTGACGCAGTTTGCAGTCCCCATTACGGAGCCTCTTTCATGGACTCTTTTTCAAAAACACCTTGCACTACAGTATTTCAAAATGATGACGCAAACTGTGTAGTTGAGACCCATTGAGAGTGGCCAGATGGAATTTGTTTTTTCACTGCAATTTGTCAAAAAAGGTAAGAGGAACCGTTTCTTTTTGCGAATTGACGGAAACGAGAAAAACACATTGCAAAGTGCAACTTGAAGCTGCCGAGTTCGAGTAATATTAAAAACTACTACAAAGGTTCAACTTCTGAATCTTATGAAAAGAGGATTTCCGGGTCAAGAATGAAGAAAGGTCAGTTATAGTAAATGCTTTTCTTTTCTAAAATCTCTCATTCTGCGTGAACACATAGATTATGGCATTAATCCGCAGTTGAATTAAGATGGCTATGACGCAACGACAATGACGCCATTATTTGAGCCCACGATGTGCACGCACTAAAACCACTCAAAACCGCGTATAACCTTCAAAATTTCATTGAGGAACCATACGCGTTTTAAATTTCGACCGTCTCGGATGGAATAAGAGTGAGTTTTCTTTTCGTAGTCGCTTGGACTTGTGTTGCAGGGCTAGCACCTTTTTTTCGTCGTCTGCGAGGAGGGGCGTTTTTTCGGGCAAAACCTCATGGCTTTAAGGCATGAACTTTAAGGTTGAATACCTTAGGGGTAGAGGTGTTATTGTTATTGCATATTAATAAGCAGTAGACACTATGCCATCGAGTTTACCCTGATATACTTCATATCCTATTTAACTAGCGAAAAATATAGTTAAATGACATACGATATAACTGACATAAGGTTTATCCCGGTGTAAGGCTTGTAAAACTTTGGATTACTTTCGGATCCCACGTGCACAGCCAGCGGCGCATGGCGAGGATAGTCGATGGTATCCGAAGTCCCGCGTACTGGGTGGTCGACTTGGCTACTCTGTTTGCGACTGCGCTTACGACTTTTTATGGACAAACCATGACTCGGTAGGATTCAGTGATTTCTACAAGGTAATCGCAGCCATTTTTGTAGTAAATTTTATCTGTTTTATATTTTGGAACAAACTTAAGGCCCACAGGTTCATGGAATGTGTCAAGTGTTGTTTAATTAAAGTGCTTTCAGGTATTTGCAATATCTAGAAAAAAATTATCGCAAAAAACGACCACTGAATTGGAGTGTTCTACACGAAGCATGTCAACAATGTCGCTTCATGAACGATTTGACAGAACCGGTGCGATATGAAACTGACTCGGATTGTTACAGTGACAATATTTGAGCCCTTTAAAGGGATAACTGAGCTCCGTAAGCAGAATATTAAGCCCTGAATACCTGGAAGTGAATATTTTACATAAACATGATTCAAAAATGTTGCTGTATATCTATCAGCAGTAGACACATGTACTCATCGAGTACGTATTTTTTAAATCTATAAAGATATTTAGTTCAAATACTGGCTTGTTATATAATCAATATATAATATGAACAAACGAAGATAAACTGGCAACGGGAATTTTGTGTTGTGCACAAGGACGGACGTATGTACGCACGGACGGACGGACGGACAAACCGACGGACGAATCCAAGTTAAGAAAAAGCTCTTCTCAGTCAACTGAAGTTAGCTTTTTACTTAATGCTGAATCATAGCAAAAAAATAATTCTTTTCTAAAAAAGAATCCTCATTTTCTTGAATTAGTAAAAGTCAACATCTATCAAAAAAAAAAGGATGAAAATCTAATGCTAGAGGAAAGTAAGAAGAAAAAAAGTACTCCTAATACGGTGGGAATCGAACCCACGTCCACCATTCACCTATTGTGCACTCTTAGTCCCAACGGGATTAATGAACGCTTT